TGATCAAGGGCTTAAAATCTATTTAGTTTTTCCGTAACTTCAGCAGTGTGACCGATGATTGAACTCTGTCGTTGAAAAGAATAGTCGTGCGTAGCGATATGAAGTGCAAAGGAAATTTCTGATTTAACTTTTTAAGTTGCTTTGGCATTCAATGGGAGTTACGCTTTTGTCAGTAATCAATGCATTGAAAATGATGAAATTCAAGTTGAGACTGTCTGGCAAAATCGTCATAATAATTTCTGACGAACAGGAAGAAAGTCATTAAGTTGTTTCACTATGGGCCTAGTGGCGATAAAAGATTAACGTCAATTCGACATTTTGATTTAACTCTGGCTTTTGATTTTGTAACTACTACCTGTGGATTCGAATCAAGGTGTGAAACCACAGTCATATTGCAACTATTAATAGGCATTTAAATTATAATACCGTTAGCTTGCGAGGGAAAAAAGTTTATTGACTTCTCAGCATTCCTTCCACGCACTTGACAAGCACGTATCCTTTTACCTATAACAGTCACCGGATTACGGTTCTTGTGATAACTACAACAGCTTTGGGTAAGCAGTTGGTTTTGGACAAATTACCCTGCCCTCGGGCAACTTATTTCACACCGTGTTGTCACTTTCTGCGAACCGGATAGAAAAATGGAGGACGTGCGACTGCAGAAGAATAAAATGGGTGAGCTGACCTCCATATCAAGGTCCGATGGGTACAGAAATTGTGATGTTAGGATGTAAACTCTAGGAATTCGTGACTATTGGTGGAAATCGGGACGGGTTATAGAATTCTTCCTTTGATAAAATCACGCCGAATCCACGTTTAAATTAGGTCAGAGGTGCGAAGGGATGGGTCCGGCCGGCGTCCTGCGGTGTTCGCGTCACCGAACATCTTTGTTTTCATCAAGGACGATGATGACAGGATGGGACATCTTGCCCGTGTGGTATTATATCGTTAGCCGTGTCTCTGTTGGGTGCAAGCACGGTGCAAGTCACGATTCAGCCTCAAGGTAAATTCATGATGTGAGGCAGCGGACCGTGGCATTCTTGGCGCGTTTGACGTGTGACGTGTCCCCTTTAAGAAAGGAACCAGTATTGAATGTCTCCCTTTTCATCCCTACTGTGTCCTTAGAGACGGGAAAACTCACGGATGACCAACTTGCTCTTTGGTGGGTGGGTGTCGAAAAGTTTCCCGTCACAACACACGTGGGTGATGGGAAGTCACATGCGTCATGGGTCTATGAAACCATTCTACATGTACATGTACTTTAATTTTAAACACGGCGAAGTTTTAAGACAGTTTAATTTGAGGTAAATTGACAAACCTTAGCAGATATCTTCTAAAAAGGATAGTCTTACACGTGGAGTAATTTAGATGAAAGCACTTGGCATGACAGGTAAGCAGATCAGACTGGGGGGGGGGGGGGGTCGGTTAATAGTAGGTCTTTGTCGAGACTGGGGGTTGATCATTACTCGTTTTAAAATTGCTTCTTGGAAATGCTGGCTTGACAAAATTTTAAAAGGAGTTTCACAGTTTAACAGTATTCGTATAAAAAACTTTGCGCATAACACGAAAAGACACGCCCTGAGCCTCGATGGATGCATTTTCTTTTATGGACCCGAAGGTTCAGGATGCCAAAATATTTGACCCTTATTAGAGTCATGGATCGGTGGCACACACATATACGTCATATGTGTACTCAGAGATTTGCGAAATCTTCGGCACATGTTGGGCGCGGCACATACCGGTGGTAAGCTCGTGTCACTGTCCTCCTGTAACTTAGCGTTGCCATAAATGCTACATGATTTATCAGTCAGAAATGCCAATCCAGAAGGACTAGACGGGAGTTAGTCTTTGAGATTAACGCACACGTAATACAGCATATAATCGCATATATCGCCATTGGTATGTTTGACTAACGCAACAAGTGGCACAATCCACGGGCGGCGATGTCAAGCGGCCATCATGACAAGACGTAGAATGTTAAGTGAATTGTAAAACTTCAGGGATTACGCCCATACAGTGAAATATCTACTCACTTTGAATAAATTTAGGGTCAGACTTCCGTGTTTTATCTTGCTGTTTTAAAAGCCACTTAGATTTCAATTCAAAGTATTTTCAAAGATTTCAAATCAGTGCGAAATTAACTTTCCTTTGATTTTCACTGTCAAATCAAATTTTACCATTTGACTTCAAAAAAGTACATGTACGAGTTCCACATGATATGCACCACTTCTAAGATCAGGGAACCGCAGGCTGAACAGTTAATATGATAGTACGGATATCTACATAAACTGGCCTGAGCGGTTCATCCGCCAGGCGATTGGCCATAAATTAACCATCATGGGCAACAATTAACGCTTCCATACACCCGCATTGTTCCCAAATGTACTGCAAGGTGGGAACTTTACTGTTATTTTATTGGTGCACATTTTGAGAGCCCCCTCAAGCAACTTAGGGGAGGGAACCAGAGGAATGTCGGAAGTACCAATTACCAATCGTTTGGGGCGATTATTGTTTCGCAAGATCGCATGTCCGGTGTTCTGCAAGCAAAAGGTTACCAAAAGAAAGAGTGGCAATGCTTTTAGATATGGGTTTATGTTACATCTTTCATAATGGTTTCATCCTGGTCACTCTGACAGGCTGTCATGTGCCCGTAGTTTGCGTTTGGTACGTGCGTTCATGGTACTTTATGGGCCATTATGTGAAAAAAAGACTTCATCAAGTTCATGTCTGTCAATTGCTTTGTCTTGTGCGTGACTATATAGGAGAAAGATTATAACGATTTCTGCAGAAATCAAAAATGAAAATCATGCTCGGTTATGACTGGCTTACTTTTCCAGTAAACTAGTTCTAATTTCTAAAGGCTTTTGGGTTCTTTGTCCGGCGGTAGTTTGCTTTTAATTAGTTTCATACGGATCCTCCCCTTTTATAAACTAGGTCCTGTCATTCAAAATCTATCGGCACACAATCTTTCCCAATCTTTGGGGAGTAGAATGCTAAACCGCATTCCCTGTGGATTTCCATGACCAAGGGGGCTAGTACCGTACAGTCCGGAAGTCTCTTGTGTTGGCGAGGGCTGATCAAACATGGGGAACTGAACCTCGGCATTGTTTGTTCCGCTGCAAATTCAAAGTCTGTATACACAAAAATTACAATGGGAATATAGCACAATCGCTATGGCTTTTGATCCGAACGTCGGCAGTTATATATAGACGTTCTTGTGTATCACGTGAGCACGGTCTACCATTGGCGTAGCAAGGGATATTTTACTGTTTTTAATATGAAACATACCCAGAAAATAATAAGAATGTATCGAAAGACTGTAAGTTTAGGATTAAATGGAAGAGAAAAATCATATTCATTTTAATTTAATGATACTCGGGAAATGTTGATGTTTTTTTCCGAAGATGGAAAGAAACAAATCTGCGAAGCTCGTTTGAATTTAGGCAATGAATAATCTTTTGTTTCTTGAAAATACCCACAGCACAATTAAACTGGAAAAAGGAAGCCTATTAAGACTAGAGGATGTACTGATGTACCGTGCGTGTATTATGTTCCATCTCCACGTTTAGTACATGTAGATTGTAGAAGCACTGTAGTTGCCGTTGGGCCAATGCATTGTGTGAGCTGTCATGCACCACGAAACCCCGCCCACTCACCGGTCGGCGCACAGCTGCTCCCCTCACTCCGTATAATCCCATGCAGACTACCCGAGCCGTCCATAGTGTAGCATCACTGCATGGAGGGTCGACCGCATCGGCACACCGATCTGTGTACATAACCCAACGGCCGAATTTCACACGTACAAAACTGCCGTTACTTTACGTTCACTGCCGGATTTTTCGAGACGCATAACACGGATTTTATTTGTTGAAACGGCTTCAACTGAGTGGAATCTCCGTCTGAACACCTATCTTTGAGGTATTTATATTTTGCTTGATTGTAAACGAAATCGTTTTATGTCCGATGGTTTGGACGTGCGCGTGCGCCGCTAGCGATCGGGTACGCGGTGAGTTGTGCCGGCGCATGGGAACCGTTAACGGTAAAGAAATGACGTGCATAGCCGGCCCTGGATATCGATAATGGCCAGCAGAAATGTTGATTGTGTAAAAAAATATTCACAGAATGAGAAACGGGTTGTTTGGTTGCAGAAATGTTTTCTTTTAATACAATGTATTAAAGTTCCTTATATTCTCTTCTCAACATTTGTGCCTAGTTCCTGATCGTTGCAGAAATGTTACCTTAGGCTACTGACAGAATGTAACTGTTTGTGTTGTACGTTCACGGTTTGTGATTCTTTTTACTGATGTGCAACTAGCGTGGTATTATACACGTTGGAACTTTTGAGTAATTGTAACTAAAAAAGCGGGGAATTTTTTTTGAAGAGTTATTCTGTGACAATTGGAAATTTCATGTCGCCATAAAATTCGAGGCTTACTGCAACATGTCACCCAGAGAAAGGAAGATTTATTTTACCAAAGACTTGCAGTAAATCATTTATGTCAAAACAACAATGAAATCACGATTTTCAAAAGCACTTATTATTTCATGTTCTGTGACAAGATTGAAAAGGAAATTTTTTCCACCATGTATTTAAAGGCATGGTGCTTGTCTGTATTTTCAGAGGCTGTTGCATAAATTTCTGGTATGGTTATCGTATACATGTACATGTACATGTATATAAATAGTACTGTTATGTACATGTACACATACTTGCAACTCAATGTATTAAGAGATCATCACAGGAATTTCACGGCCATGTCATAACAGGAGCAGCATCTGTCTGATAATTGAGCGCAGCTTGATTATCCCATCAGCCGGGTCAATCTACTCCAGTGGTCAAATCTTCATGCTACATTGACCAAACCAAATGTACACTGTGCAGTACACTGTGCAGTACCCTGCCTGGCAGTTCCCATTGTTACCTACTATACAGACAAGTATTTGCCCTGGTGTATTGAATCAAGTAATTTACTCCTCGCTTTTTATTGATTATGTTGCAGATATTCACCCAGCCGCCTGTGAAAAGAGTGACAAGCTAAGACCCTGAAACACACCGTGAGGTTTTTTTTCTGCTGCAAGCTTAGACGGAGAGCCCCGTCACAACAACGCCCGGATTTGGAATGGAACTGGGATAGCCACATCAGGAGATATTAACCATGGCCACATGTACTCTACAGGGGAAGAAGTTCTACTGCCGGGAGTGGGCATTCCAGAAGCTGCTGCACAGTCTGGAGAGCAGACCAGCCTCCAAGACATGTGGCACTCTCATCATGGGTGGGCCAGGCAGTGGCAAGACAGCCATATGCTCTGAGATTGTCTGGCCAACATCAAACCATGGGAAGCAGAGGAGCCTCAACAAGCGAATGCTGGCCTACCACATGTGCCAAGCCCATGATCTGGACACCCTCTCTGTGCCTAACTTCATCCTGGGACTTGTCAGTTTGATTTCAAGATCAACGTTGATCCATGGATATGATGAGAAACTACGCAACCCTAGTGTGCAGGCAGTTTTGGAACCGGCTGCTTGTGAGAAGAATCCCGATGAAGCCTTCAAGAATGGAATATTACAACCGCTGTGCTCTCTGAATCCCCCATCTCGGAATTGCTTTATCCTCGTGGATTCTATCGATGAAGCCTATCCGAGGCTGGATGGAGATAGATGCTCCACTAGCAGAACGATTGCAGAGCTCCTAGCCAATCACCATGAACTGTTCCCGTCATGGCTGTGTCTAATATGCAGTGCACGCCGTCAGAGCAAATCAGTAACCCGTATGTTTACTGGGTTCAGAAAACTGAGCCTTGATGACCTACGGAAATCGCATGTGGTGCGTGATGTACAGCAGTACATTCTATGCCGCCTTGATCGAGAGGAATTGCTCAGGCAGCAGCTGAGTCGAGACACTGCAGAGATGCTGAACCAGCTGCACATCAAGAGCAATGGATGTATGATGTATCTTGAGAAAGTCTTAGATGGAGTTGCCAACAACTTCATACAGCTGAAGGAAATCTCGGACATACCAGGGACTCTCAATGGACTATATCTGTGGCTCTGTCACCGTGTGTTCATCAAGAAGCAGTTTGTAAGGATAAGGCCAATCTTCAACGCGATGCTGGCAGCCCAGTGTCCACTGACAGACGCAGAACTCTATGCATGTTCAAGAACTCAAAACACAAGTCTCACAGAAGCAGACTTCCAAGAGAGGCTAGTGAAAATGGGACAGTTCTTGGTGCGAGGAAAGGACCAGAAACTTCTCATCTTCCACTACAGTTTCGTGGAGTGGCTCTTGGACGTAAAACACTGCACACGGAAATACCTATGCAGCATGGCAGAGGGCCATGCCATGATAGCCATGAGGTATTCATGTGAGGCTCCAAGCCTCACCCCAGCACAGGTGCAAAACTTCGCTGCTAATCTCCTGCAAGCAAGGTTTGTGCCTCCACTTGAGCCCCACCACCTCACCCTGTGGCTGATGTGGATGGGAACTCCACTGAAAGACTGCCTGATGAGTTCAACACCTAAAAGCCAACAGGTGCTTCAGCTTCTGGTATCAGCGGGGGCAAAGGTCATTGACCTTGATGAAAGTTCCATTGCCCTCCAGGATGCACTGGACAGGGAAGATTCTCTCAAAAGCTTACTAGAGAGTGGTGCATCCATCAATCAAGTGGACAGCAACGGGCGCTCACTTCTTGCCAATGCTGCATATTGCGGGAATTTAAGAGTGGTAAAGTTCCTGTTGGCCAGAGGTGCAGACTCAACAATAACCGACAGGACTGGTCAGACTGCACTGGGACTTGCTGCACGCCAGGGGCACTGTGAAGTAGTCGGTGTACTCATCGAGTATCATGCTGAACTGGACCATGTCGATCATGATGGCTGGACACCACTGCGGTCAGCTGCATGGGCTGGACATGCTGATGTAGTGGCTGCTCTGTTGGCTGCAGGTGCAAAGGTGGACTGTAGCGACACTGACAAACGTACTGCACTACGTGCTGCAGCTTGGGGCGGCCATTGTGATATTGTCATGAATCTTGTGGAACACGGTGCTGACGTAAATCAGGCGGATAACGAGGGGCGTACACCTCTCATTGCTGCTGCATACATGGGACACAAGAAGATCGTTGAGTATCTACTAGACAATGGTGCTGACATCAATCACGTTGATTGTGATGGTCGCACAGCACTCTCTGTTGCTGCAATGTCGGTGGCTGTCTGCCAAGGCCACACAAGTGTCATCACTATTCTCATTGAAAGAGGAGCAAATGCTGATCACAGTGATAATGATGGTATGTCTCCACTGATTGTAGCTGCAAGTGAGGGACATCAGACTGTCGTCGAGCTCCTTCTTGAAGGTGATGCTGACATTGATCACACGGACAATAACAATCGCACAGCCCTGATAGCTGCCTCCAACATGCGTCACACTAATGTTGTTAAGACACTTCTGTACTGGGATGCAGCAGTGGACACTATCGATAATGAAGGAAGAACTGTTCTGTCAATTGCTGCTGCTGAGGGTAATGCTGAAGTTGTACGCATGCTTCTTGATCGTGGTCTGGATGAGATGCACAAGGATCATCATGGCTGGACTCCACTGCATATGGCTGCTTACGGTGGCCACAGAGAAGTCTGCAGGGTGTTTCTCAGCCAGAACAGTCACGTCTCTGTTGACATAATGGATAGAGATGGAAGAACTCCCCTGACCCTCGCAGCACAAGAGGGAAAGCTGGAGACAGTGAAGGAGTTACTCAACTACAATGCAAACATCCACCACACTGCTCACGATGGGCGCAGTGTTCTCAGAGCTGCTTCTCTGGAGGGTCATCAAGAAGTCGTCCGGCTGCTCGTTGAAGGAGATGCAGATGTCAACTACAAAGATGCAGAGGGGAGGTCCACACTCTATATGCTTGCTCTGGAAAACAAGGTACCAATGGCACATTTCTTGCTGGAGTGTGGTGCAGACACAGAGAACCCCGACTTTGAAGGTAGAACACCTCTTCATGTAGCTTCATGGCAGGGTCATACAGAGATGGTGAATGTACTCCTGAGTTTTAAGGCAAATCCAAATGCTATGGACAAGGAGAAGCGTTCTGTTTTGCAATCAGCTGCATGGCAAGGACATGTGATGGTAGCCAATTCCCTTCTGCAAAAGGGAGCAGATATCAACCACACTTGTAACCAGGGTGCCTCTGCTCTGTGTATAGCAGCCCAAGAAGGTCATGTTGATGTTGTGAAGTGTCTTCTGGAGCATGGTGCAGATCCTGCTCAATCTGACAAGCACGGCCGCACTGCCATGAAAGTTGCCCTCAAAGGTGGCCACCAAGCCATTATCAAGTTGCTGGAAAAGTGTGGAGTGCCTAATCCGCTCTCACCAATGCCATCGAGAGCTGCCCACAATCGGAAGAATGGTTGCGGAACAGGTGGCTCCTCATCTTCCAATCAGAGCAGTGAAAATGCAAAGACTGCATCATCGGGTATACTGGCCAATGGTGGGCTGATGCAGGCAAGCTCGTCATCCAACTCTCCTGACTCCACCTTTGACCAGAGAAAGTCATCAGTATCCAACCAGTCGTCCAAGTCTTCATCAAATCTGACATCGGTATCAACTGTTAACTCGACCTTGCATCTTCATCCACCTAAGGAGAATGGCCAGCGATGCTCCACCTTTACTGAACAACTGCAGCATTTGGCCCCTCACGGCAAGAAGAAGAGTGGGAGCTCTCATGGCAAAGCACCGGAGCCTTCCAGAAACCAGTCTGTGCTAGCAAAGGTCACACCAGCTTCTTCTTTTCAAACGATACCTGAGAACATCATAACTACTCACAGCACTGACAAAATGCAGCATGGAAATTCAAAGCCCCACACGGGAGCAGTACAGTCTCCAAGAAGATCCCCGTCTCCTCATATATCCTCGAGATCCACCTCGCCAAGTCTGCAGCCATCCAGTCCTCTGTCTCAAGCTTCACTGCAGTCTCCAGTCAGGCTATCCCCACAGACATCGCCATCACATTGCCAGTATCACAATAACAACAAGCCATTGTTCCCCTTCAAAAATCCTCAGTGTACATCTCAAGTCTCAGTGGAGGTACACAGTAATCCTGAGGTCAGATCTGCATCACCTCAACCAAGGATGGGCATCCACAAATCTCCCAAAATTGAGAGGAAAGCAAGGTCCTCATCTCTGAGAGAAAAGAAGTCGAGTAACCCCCAGATGCCTCCTCAGAATGGACATAATCACATCAATGGCCAGGCTCCCTACCAACCCCAACCTCAAGGTCATCAGCATCAGTCACTACAACACATCCCAGCTGCTAATGGAACCCATCACAACCCCCATCAGATGCAGTCCCAGGGTTTCCATCCATTCTACTCCCCTCCATCCCAGCGCAGGTTCCAACCCCCTATGCAACCCCAGTGTTGTCACAGGACTGGTGCGCAAACCCCTGAACAATCCCCTGAGCACAGACCCCCTGTCCACCAACGCTCCATCTCCCAGCCTGTCCACATGGTGGAGTGTCACTGCCACGAACATGTGCACTTCCAGCGCAAAGCATCCCTGCCTGTGTCTTTCAATCAGATCAACCTGCAGCGGGTACTCTCGACAACACAAGTCGCCCCCGGCTCACCAGAGATGAGACCAAGGCGCAATGGCATTGTGACCAATCCTAAATATAAGAACTACCACAATAAGACAAGTCTTCATGGGAGTCAAACCATGTTGACGCAACAACCCAGCATCATCGCAGGTGACAACCACAGAGGTCTTTCAGCTCTGGAACTTAAGCAGGCGATGAAGGCGAGTTTTGAGGGATCTTGCAGGAATGGATTCAAAAAGGAAACACCACTTTAATGGTAAGTCTGTTCAAAAGAATACATTTTTATAAAAGTGCCAAGACTGTTTCTAACACATTTTACAATACGTTTGTCCAAAAAACACAAATAAGGAAAGAGGCTTTTTCATTCACTGTAAAAACAAAAGTAGCAACAGACAAAGTATCAAAACAAATCACAATGTTTTTAAGTACGCAGTTTACTATGAGGTTATTCTCGCATTTTTTTTATTTACAACGTGCACATCCAGTCATTCACCATGATTTGTGTTTACGTGACATTCAAAATTGAAGTTGGCTTTCACAATGAGACCCAACGAACCAGTAATAATTCAGTCGATTGAAAAATAAGGTCAAGAAGTCTATTCAATTCAGCACAAACATCTTGAGAGTGAAACCGGGCGGATATTTTGTGGCCATAGCGCTGCAGGGCCAGGGCTTCATTCATATGATTCATTTTTATCATGCATGGATGGTAGGCATTTGCAACCCATCTGCATCATGATCATGGGACTAGCCATGAATGACTCGCGCCACAGGCAGTTTCATAAACCCTTTTCTTCTATCTGGGACCAGATCTAACGAAAGAGAAAAAATATTCATCAATTGGCTGCTTCCCTTGGGGATTTTGATGTCAGTCTCTGAGGCGTTATCCACTCCAACTTCTGCTCTGTGCTGTCGGTTTCATACATCACTGCCAATTACATTCGAGAGGGAAGTTAAGCAGTGATTTGATTTAGGGATGGGCTATATGCTAAGGGTGAAGCAAAGTTCACACATTTTTGTCTGAATTTTATGGGATTGGCGCTAAAACCCATAAAGTCACATTAATTCTTTGACAGTGAGTGCTTGGCATTTATAAAAAGCCTTTTAGTTTTTTAGATCACTATATGAAAATCATGGTTCAACATTATTAACATAATTTACAGAGTCAAATACATGTATCCTGTAACGGGGCAAGATTAAAAAAGGCTTTCATACCGGTATCTCTAGCTTGACAGTCTGTGGTTAATCAACATCTCAGATAGTGCAATACCTCCAATTATTATCTAAAAATACAAACACACGCACATGTTCTTCCTAAAGTCCTAATGGCACTAAATTGGCTTCGCCAATCAAGATGAGTGCGTAAGCATAAATCTGACATTTCATGGGTTTCTAATTGGCTTCTCCAATATTGTGTATGCATAGGCATAGACGTGTGGCTAGAGTTTTTTTTTCTTTACCAAACACTCATGGACCTTGCCCAGAGCCAGTAAAAGCAGATCTAATGGCCTGTTAAAGTTGCCAACTGAGGTGAAACCTTGCTTCAGGATTAAGCCAAGAAAATGCTTAAAACTGATCTCGCCCTTTCTGCACATGTCATGAACTCAGTTCAATGTACCAGTACTTTATACTTAAGGTTTCCATATTTTGTTATTTCATGTGTAGGTCCAACATCTGGTATGTACATTTTACACAATGCGCATTAAAATGTGAACATAAGGTACATATATTCCTTTCACGTACATAAAAATGTTACATACATGTACATTAAAGAACTGATCATCCAAATTGACACATTTTATACAATAATTATTGCTCACCATGCTTCTACAAACATTTTTTTTTCTGATCTGAATTCATATTGTAAGTTGTAACACGACACTAAATTTTTCCATTTTTTCCCCAATCAAACTATGGCACCTGGTAGGGTGTGCTTTTTGCACACAGGAGTGGCAAGTGCACTGGGGTTAATACTAAGTCAATATTATTGGCAAGCGCTCTGAATAGCAGGTGTATTATATCATGGCTAAACAGGCCCTTTAGGTTGTGCAGTATGGGACACCCTCTGCTGGGCAGGCCACAGGCACACCTCAAGATAACACATGTACCTCATTTGTTTAGCCTCTTGCATCTTGTGGGAAAGTTCAAGTGGGGTTGGCTTTAGGGGGAGTGGAGCCTAGAATTTGCAGAGGCTGGGATTTTTCAAAAAGGTCTGCTTATTGTAAATCACAATAGTTTATGCTGTTACATGCTACTACTTATGAACCATTCACTGCATAATTCCATAGGGAATTATGTTTACACTAAATCACATTGTCTCCAGCACAAGAAGATAGTATATTAAAAGTTCCACACATTTTTTTCTACACATTACAAAAAACACAATTTTGAATGTAAGGTACATGGTTGCAAAAGAGTTACTTTTAAACATGTCTCTGCTTCCATAAAATATGTAGTGCTTTGTCACTAGGATGTTTGTATAAAGACCTTTTTTGGTTTCAGTTTTCAGGACGTAGGCCTACATTTTTAAAAATTGACCATAAAAGATCACAATATGTCAAATCAAATCTTACGAGTCATAGAATTTACTTTTATAAAAGGACTATTATCAAGTTAACGTACATGTGCATGTACCGGGGTACCTGTCGAAGCAATGTTTATATAGTCAACATCCAACTTGCCGCTCCCTTTATTTGGTTTTAGAATGTGCAATTACTGGCCATTCACCCTTTTTTTTCGCTGTTATTGTGAATGGCTACACATATGGCAATGAAGACTGGTTTAATATGAACACTGAGGATGACCACACCACTAGTCCCATAATTCAGAATCAGGAAGAGAGTCTTATTCCATCGAGGTCAATTGACTCAGCATTATCCTGTTACCTTGTAAGTACTTAAAACTGACATATTTTCCTGTGATATTTTTTATTACCACAGTTACCTTACCTGCCGGGGCCACTGAATCCTGGACCCTGGGAATACCTGCCGACTCCTCCCCTCATATGGCCATCCCTCAAGGCTCAACCGTCTCTCCCTCCAAGGTTCAACGGAAGGAACAAGCAATCCTTTGCTTTGTGGGGCACAGCAAGCTGCATCCAACCAGAAAGAAATGAAATGAGACTCAAGGACAGATCAGCATCCTAAATCTGACTTGCCGGGGTGTGACTAGAGCACGTCCCCCTTATTGTCACTCAAAGGACACTTCAAATGAATAACTCAGACATAACTTCAGGTAATCTGTACATTATGCGGTCATTTCATTCAACAAATGGGACAAATTTTCCCACGCATTGATCTGTGAATGAGAGATGTAAATTATTGTGTTGCAACTTGTTCAGGAAGGCAATTGTTGAAATGCTGCAGTGTCACGTTCGATCATGGCAAGTTTGTCAAAGACCTAACTGCCTTGAAAACATTGTTGATGGCCTTTGATTGAAAAGTAGCATAAAATAGTGATTTACCCAATATAAAATTAATTTGTCACTCTGGATTTTGCTGCATGGGAACATTATTATGTCCACCAATTTTGTATTATAAAGAGTATGTAATGTAACTCAAGGGATACATGTGCAAAAACAAGCGTCAAAATTATCCGACAGTATTTGATTTCCTTTACAGCCAATTTCTTACAATGAATGACTTATAAAGTTAAAGTGGTTAATTGATCAAACTGTATATACATTGGTGTACAGAACTTAAGACTTTATTTACAAACCGTGGATAGCTAAATATCTTATGCAATCTCGTTACTGTAATATTTGAAAGTTGTGAACAGAAATTAACGTCATGGAGTAAAGATTGAAAGGAGTAAATGTATTTCACAAATGTTGCATGTTCTGTCAATACCAGACACACAACGGCCACATGTTTTATTTGCTTAATGCTTTGTTCAATCACGTGGCCCTTGAAGGATAGGAATGAATCTTGATTCTGTACTGCTTATGTGCATTACTTTCCAAATTGACAAGGTAAACACATGTAAGTTTCTTCAACATTGGTTGATGATACATGTACATTTCGGTTGGATTCAATGTTCACCATTAATGTTGGCACATGCTTACTGATACCATTTGTAATTTACTATCTTGCCACATCACATAATTAGCTAAATTTGACAGAACATGTAACTTTGTTTAAGAGCTTCTTACACTAGTGTGCACTTTGCATTATCAGAAACAGCACCAAAACATGATCTTCTATTGTACATGTTCATTGTAAACTTTAAATGACTCTCTGTCTTTAAATTATTGTAGAAAAAAATAAGGTGGAGGGTTTCATGTATTTATATTATGTACAGAGAGATTTATGCATGCTGTCTTTACTGGGGCAAGTGTACATGTTCATGTGTGTGTATTTGTAAGTATTCTATGACAGAAAGACTGTCAGAGAATTATAGGGTTTAATACGTGTCCATGTGTGACCCCTCCTTTCCATCAAGTCAAAAGTTGATTCTTATTTTCAGATTTAGCCATTTAGCAACATTCATCATATGACAGATTTGTCCTAAACAAAGTCTGGTAAATGTTTTTTTCAAATGCCAACGCTCGCCGTTGCACTTTGGACCCCCTCGGCCATTCTGTGAACCACAGCTCCCAAAAAAATCAACAATTGGCGACTTTTGACTTGGTGCAGTAAGACGGGGTCACATATGGGCAGTGTATTAGGGACAGAGAAGGGAAAAAATGCTTGCCAATATGTTTACAAGAGGGTTCTCTTTCTTCAATACCTATTATTGATTGGTGTGGGGAGCCTTTCATTCTTAAGGCTTCATACTGATGTGTTATTGATCTATAGGATCGGGGAAAACAAATTTTAGCAGGCCTGAAGCGAGAGTTGGGGGGGGGGATTTAATAATAAGGGCTTGTTTTGCAAGCTTGCCTGTTGGACTCTTAGCTGCGTGTCAACAAGTTGTTTATACTCTAATATTATAATGTGTGAGTGCAAAGTTGCCAGTCCTTCAAAAGTAAATTTACTGTGGTAATTTGTTGACGGAAATTACTATGTTTCACCAAACAGTGTGAATGTTTACAAACTGGGACAGACATTTATGAGAGAAATGTTTAACATTCAGTGTCATTCAGTAATTAAGAAATTTCTATATTGTAATGTTCTGACATACATTTAATGCATGTTTTGCATTTTAACTGTAAAACATGGTTTATCCAGACATTCAGTAGTATTCGTACTAACTTTTGAACTGAAGAACAGTAATTTACATATGAAATGTCTACTCAAAAGCAGTGACAAGTTTATCTCCAGAATTACCTTGTTCGGCAAATTTAGTGAAAAGTTGTGATATAATTATATTGCTTATTCTTTCATCCAAACAAGCTTTTGTTTACATTTGATTTTGTCCCAATATTGATAATTTCATTTCTATGAATTGACAGCCTGGTAATCAAGAAGTAAATTATTAAGCTTTTGTCAAGTCCATCAAAACATAAGTCTGTTTTGCATACAACTGAACCTTCATCGGATAATTCTACGAATCGAAAATCATTCCAGCTGTATTTGAACTGAGCCAGACTAATATTCCAAACCAATCAACCGTTCACATGACAATCACATCAGATGTTTAACAACCCTTGAAATTGCAAAGTGTTTACTCAAATAAACTGTTTAGCTATCAAAGCAGGAATGTGTTGCCCATAAAAACATGTCAACATGATTTGTGTTTTCCTCATTGTTTGTGGGTTTCTTTAATGGCTGGTTTTTCTGGCAACCTTGTCTTGTTTAATCTGAAAGCCAGTCAGGCTAGACACCAGGTGAGATAGGAATCCCAAGAATTTCAACATACACCTGGTTGGGTGCACAGACTCAAAACACACATTTGTGTAAGATTGTTTGGTCACATCTGGTCTTAATTGCAAAGTACTGGTCAGTCTGAGGTTAAGATGGGAGGGGGTCAATCAAGATATGGTAAACTATAAGCCCAAAACAGGAGGGAGTATTTTTTGATATCTTTGTATACTTAACCATGGACCAGTCTTGCAGGGACACTTTTTATCCCACAGTCTGTTTTTATTGAATGCTAAGATACTTTGGTTTTGGGTGGGTTTTTTTTTACTGACTGCACTGCCAATGCCACAACCAGCTCTTTCCTGCCTATCATAAAATGTATTTTGTTAAATTTAAAGCTACAATAACTTCCCTCAACAAAAGTCAAGTTCAAAACTCTTTAGTTCATCAGCTGTTTGTCAATTTGTGACTCAAACTAAACGCAGAAATGTCAAGTCAATTAAATTACACCTGTGAAGTTTTATCTGAAGCCTTTATTCAGCATATCTTGAAAGGATTTTATTACCTAATATTTTCAGATAATGAGAGGTCAAAATACATAAAATGAGCAACAGGAGTGCCATTTGGGGATCATTTCAGGCTGGAGTGGAATTATAGGTGTTAAGCTGGGTCAACATATTCTTGGATCTAATCTGCGCACTTGCAAATGTCCCTGGCCTTGTTCAGTTAATCAGTTACCAATGTGGAGTGAACTTGGCTGCCTTCCAAAGTGGGAAGTGGGTCTATTGTTTGCCATGAAGGTCAATTTCAGTCTGGCAATAATAAGCTCAAATGGGGTTAATGGTTTTGTATGGGAATTAAAGCGGCTTACCTTTGGAATTCTGAGTAAAGGGTGCTGATGATTAAACAATAGGGTTGAACTTTCTTTTAATCCCTGTTAAGAACCCTTCAGAACACAATTTTGGTAATTTGTAAGATTAATTACAAATGAGTCATTCAACTTGATATTTTGTTGGGTTTTTTTGCCCTTTTTTTGAATTGAGATCTCTCGAAAATGAAACCTTGCAAGATATGCAGGAGCCTAAAAAACTTTATGTAACTATGCAACCAAAAAATCCCAGTGAGTGGCTCAAAATTCTTTTGAAACTTGAAGTTTACATTCTACAAGGATTATAAGTACATTTACGTACACTAATTCTGGGTTCTTTTTCCTTGATTATTATAATGTTGTCCATTGATCTCTTGTATTAAAAAACATGGTTAATAAAGCGGACATTTATAGAAAGCGCCCTTGACTGAAATAGCTACATCTGGCTGCTATACAGTTCTGAAAGTCAACTTGATCACACATTTTTTTCTGAAATTGATGAAAATGACCATATCGATATTGCTTTTCAAGGTAAAGATAACTTTGTATTTCGCGATTATGACATTGAAATCCCACTTTTAAACAACTTGCTTTGCAGGTCTGTAATATTGTGCTGAAATAATTACATGTATACGCATTTACAGGATTACACATTTGCTGCGCGAAATTCAGTTGATTTAACATGACAAATTACTAGTGACCCCTCATGAACTAATTGCTATCTTTTTCACCTGTTTTTATCACAAATTGTATTTTAGTTCTTAGGAAACTTTCCTTACAACTTGGTGCTTATTTGGGCGGATAGACTCTTGTCTCACCCCATACCAACTGCTATTTGGTGCCAGCAACGGAGTATTATACATTGTATAGACTATTTATTAGTTATACCATAGTCAAGAATGGATGATATTCTAAATAGAATATATTTATATATATTGAAGATAATATTCACAGAAATCATTCTGATTACATGTATCATCTTGTCAAAAAATTCTCTGAAAGTACTCATCTTGACTGGTGACTTTCGCCGTATGTGTTTTAGCTTTAGAAATGTGGAAAAGTTCAGTAGAGCAGGATCATTATCAAGGTACATTTTCTTGGCTACATAAAGTACCTGAATTTCTGCTGAAATTTCTAACATTTAAGACTTGTGGATATATAAACGAATTGCTTAGGTAAACAGATCTAATGTTCATTGGCGCCGGTGTCCAGTTCTAACATTTTATGGGATATATTTTCTGTATAATACTTGTGATGTTCCAAGTGCCACATTTGTGAATACATGTATTCTGTGAAAGTGTGTTTTCACTCGACTTTGTTCTTCCATTCAAATTTTCTTTGCTGGTCTGGTTTTTTTTTTTAGCTTTTATCAAGAACTACTGTATAGGTGCATTAGTTCACACGACTTTTATCATACAATATGTACTTTGTTTACTTTTGTCTGTGGATCTGTCCTGGCCAGACATAAAAAAATGCTGCTTTATTTGCTCAAACACATTAGCAAAGGGTCATTATTTTCGCTGTCGTCTACGAGATATGAAAGGTTTACTGCCATAAAATAAATATCGTTGGTATTTATTGCGTTATTTGGGGGAAAATAATGACTTCTTAGGTTTTCGTGTGTTAGTGGAATACAGTGGCCACAGGATTTTTTGAGTGCACGATATTTGTATAAAGGTGGCATGTATGCATGCATGGTAAACTAAAAGTGCCCAAATGTTATTGAAGGCACTCAAGTGTAACATGGAAAAATTAAGTTCATATGTGATTCAGAGTGTGATAAAGAAATTAATGTTTTCACACTCGCCACTTAATGTCTGAGTGATTGAAAAAAATACTTAAATGAATTTCAGTTTAACTAAAATCATTAAAATGCAATTTGTATTATGTGCAGTTTTCGAATTTTGCTTGTTGGTGACATTCAAAATACAAGAAAGATTAACACTGTATGTAACCAGTAAAAACAGTTCAGACTATGTTGCGGAAGTGATGTGTTAAATAAAATAAGTTGAAGAACTCACTTGTGAGTGAAACGGCAACACTGCATTTGTGTACTTGTGTGAAAAAGAGTTTGGAAGGATGTTTGTCTTTTTGGCCCAAAAGGAAACATGGGTAAAAAAGTGCACGTTACAGGTGGCTATTCAATGCATTGTGTGCATGAATCCAAGCAAATAATCCAGTGAAAGAACCGGGTGCTTGGACTTCCCAAATCAAAATTCTCACACAACATGTTTGGAATGTTTCTGTTTACCTAGCTAACCAAAAAACGGTCTTGCTGATACACCAAAGGGTTTTTTTAGGGGGGGGGGCAACTCGGGGGAAAAAACAGCTGAAGAATTGTGACAAAATCAGCAAAGCAAGAAGGCTGAAACTGTCAAAATGCTGCTAGCTGGATGGTTGTTTACTCAAAAAACATGGTGTGTTTTTGCATTGTGAGTGAGATAAAAGGGCACCGAGCGAGCGTGTTCCCTGGCCCAGGTGTAGGCACGCGGTGGAGGGGAAGGAATCGCAACCCTGATGGAAGGGTGGGAAGTTTAACAAGTCCTACAACTATTCTCTGACGATGTAATTTGTCATTTTTTGTAGTAATTTCACAATACAGTGAATTACAATCAAACCTTCTGACTTGTTGAAAACTTGGGAAAAAGTGTTATTGAAAAGACAACAGGGCAACAAAAATCTGAAAAAGGTTTTAGGAAAACTGAAATACAGTGCAATGTTACTGCACTTCTGAGACAGCTGACAAAATTTTTAACAATAATCTGTAGCAAATAAAAAACTAAAGAAAATCTTATAATTGGGGGTTTATTCAATTCATTATCAAGTTTGGAATAGCTTATTATGCAAACAAAATTTACAAGTAACTACTTAACACTGTAATTGTTCAGTGCATCGGCTGGGGACAGAACTTATGAAACTAAATTATTGCATTTGGTTTTCCAAAATTAGATAAAATTGAAGTTGCAATGCCATTTATTATCGGTAGTCTTGCATGCTTGATTTTCAATTCAAGCAACACTATAGTTCTGAACCTTTTGTTCTTGTCTGACCTGTTATTCAACCCTATATTGTATAATTTGATGACCCTTGAAATGGCTCAACTGAACCATAACTGACCAAAGACCAGATGGACATGAACAGATGGAGGGTGACCTGGTTTCCCTAGGGGTCAGACGCTCAGACCTTGGTCATGGTCAACACTGGTCAGTCACCACAATGTACATGCCAGCAACATCCACACGGACAATCCTTTAATTCATGGAATATCAATACTGAGTGACCAGATCTATTAATATTTGTGACACCTGACCCGCATGCCAATGGATGAACCGGCCATTTGAGGGGCGGTCAGTAAACCTAATTAATGGTGACACTCTATCCATAACCAGACATCTGCAAGTCAAAATTTGTAACTTGATGATTCAATTGAAAGTTTTGGCCAGAGAAGGCTTATGAAATACAATCTGGAATATTTAGTCAACCAGTATTGAAATTCAAGAAGTCCTTTAACTATTCTCTGAACTAAATTGCACTGACTTTAAAGTGACAAAACTGTCATTTCAATTTTGGTCTCCAATTTTAACTTTTGGCAGGAACAACTTTCTATGAAAATTTGTTTGCATAGCTTCTGAGTACTAATTGATAAAGTGAGTAATAAGGATGTGACTTTGGCTAATAAAACTGAGCCATTTTGACTCAAAAAATGTTTATTCCAGTGATAGTGGTACCAGACTGCACAGATTGAGAAGTCAAAGCCACAAAGTTAAGAGTAACCATTTGGAAGCAATTGAAGCTAAAAATGGTGGGGGATTTTATTCCAACCCTTTTTGTAAAATAACTTTGGCCTACTTTTCCAAGCCCATTCATATATTATTCAATGTGCATTAGACCTTTAGGGCCACTGTTTGAAATCTAACCCTTTTATGAAGAGATAAAGAATTATAACCATAACTTATGGATCGGGTGCTGACATTTGACTGGCTAATATCTTGAATTCATGTTTAAGGGAAAAAACACCTGTTTGGAAAGGAGTTCTAATTGATTGGTCATGGGCGCAGCAAGGGAGGGGTGCAACAGGTGTGAGAACTGTGATAAATGATGTCAAGTTGACCAGGATAAATCTTCTCACCAATATTGCAGAATAAATCATGATAACGATATTGCCAGAAGTACATTCACGGTCTGGGATTTTCAACACCCCCCCCCCCCCCCCCCCTTTGCAGATTGCTGGTGATGTGGTTGAAGGAAAGGTTTGGTATTGAACCAATGAAGTACCTAGAAATACTATACAATCCCCTCCACAAGGAAGTAGCTGGCCCTGCCTCCATTTTCACCCCACCCCAAAGTCCATTCTATCACTCCCTCCCCAGAAGTTCAAACCTCCAATACACTAGAGGCTAAGTCCTCTGAGAATACCCTTTCCATATCCCTCAGCATGCATCACCTCAGACAAGGTGTCACAAGGAAAACCCTAACCATTCCATCAAAGCATACACCAACAACTTCAGAGAGTTCAAGAGTTGAATCATTATTGCAGATCTATGCACTGACCCTGCACACCTGAACTCGTCAGCCCACTGAACCTAAGTGCAAATACTAACTACCAGCAAGTCCATTATTCAGACCAGGGCCATACAAACACTGAAAAGGGCTGGGAAAAA